TGGTCCTAAAGGTACATTTGTAGCTGCACTGAAAATTAAATATACATACAAAGACTGTTTCAAGATTTTACACATCCAGCTCAACGCGGTGTGCACGGAGCTCTGCTGAAGGCAGCCGCAATGCTCATCTCGGCCCAAAATTAACAGCTGCTCCTGCAGTGTTTGAAGAGGCACTGCCGGCACAGATGCAAAGGCAAAAAGGGGCTGTGGGCAACTGCAGAGTGTGACACAGCACCGGCTTTACTCAGTTAAATTGCAGGCAGCGAGTGCATCGTCTTGAGCATCAACATTACTGAAAAATCGCTTCAGATCAGGAGTAGCTGTAAGGAACTTTTACAAGAGCATGTAGTGAAAGGACAAGGGGGGATGGCTTCAAACTGAGGGAGCGGGTTTAGATCAGATGTAAGGTAGAAATTCTTCACTCTGAGGATGGTGAGGCACTGGAACGGGTTGCCCAGAGGACTTGTGGATGCCCCATCGCTGAGGGCCAGCTTGAATGAAGCTCTGAGCAACCTGGTCTAGTGAAAGATGTCCGTGCCCACGGCAGAGGGGTTGGAGCTAGAGCATTTGTAGCGTCTTTCCCAGGGTAGCTTCCACCGAGTTCCCCACCCGTGCCGCCCGTGCCGCCCGTACCTGCGCTCCGGTCCCGCCTCCGCGCTCAATTGTCCCGCCGCGCTCTCCCGGCAGCCCCACCGGCCGTACCGCGCGTGCGCGCTGCGCAGCCTTCCCTTCCCGCCGGGCGCGCGTGCGCCGGGGCCGCGCTGCGGGACGGGACCCGAGACAGAGAGACGCTGCCGTGCGCGTGCGCAGTGCCGGCCTGCGGGGTCTGTGCCACACACAGCATGGCGGAGCGGCCGCCCGCCGCGCCGCCGTCAAGCGAGAGCGGCCGTAAAGGGAAGCTGGGCTGCGCGGCGACGAGCGGCGGCGGGCGGGGTGAGTGGCGGCGAGCGGGCCGGGGGCAGCGGGGCCCGGTGGGGCCGGGCCCGGGGCGGGAGGCGCCGCGCGGGGTTTGTGCTCAGCGGTTGTCAGGCCCTGCGCCGGGCCGGCGGCGGCATCGCTGCCGTGTGGGGAAGGGAGCGGGAAGGGCGCGTGCAGCTGTAAGGGTGTTTGCCGCTGCCCGAGGCAGCGCAGGTGCTCTGTCTTGGTGTCGGGTCCCTCCTCCAGGTGTTTCCAGGCCAGCTGTGTGCTCTGTGGCTGGGATCGTTGTCCGTCCCTGAGGCGCTTTCCCGCGCCGAATCCGGAGGCCTTTCCCCTGTTAGCTGTGCAGAATTCCGAGGGGAGAGAGCTCCTCTGACCCTGGGCTTGGCTCGGGGCCGCAGAGCCCGGCCCTGCACCTGTGACCGAAGGTGGTCACAGAATTAATTAGGTTGGAAAAGACCTCTAGGATCACCAAGCCCATTCCAATGGCTAACCACCCTTTCTGTGAAAAAATTCTTCCTGCTGTACAAGCTGAATCCCAGCCTGAGGCGCTGGCCTCTCATCCTGTCACTGGCTGCCTGGGAGAAGATACCAGCCCTCACCTGGCTACAGTCTCCTTTCAGGTGACCCATAAAGTCCCCTCTGAGCCTCTTTTTCTCCAGGCTAATCAACCCCCAACTCCCTCAGCCACACCTCATAGGACTTGTGCTCCAGATCCTTCACCAACTCCATTCTGCAGATCCTTCACCAGCTCCATTGCCCTTCTCTGGATTCTGGTCTGTGCCAGGCATGTCATGGATGGCATTGTTCTGAGTAGGCTGTGCAGGACAGCATGTGTCATACAAAAATGTTCTTTGACAGAATAGCTATAGTAGTTATGTAGCTCCTGGTACAGGCCTTAAATTGGCCCATAATTTTTATATAAGCTTTTTTCTGAAAAAAAAAAAAAAATCAGTTGTTTGCATTGTTCATTTATTCTTACCCTCCTCTGTACCTTCTCTCTTACACAAATGTTCATCCAACTCCCCAATGTACCAGTTAGGGGAGCTGAGCTGAGGGAGTAGCATCCCTCAGCATCCTTGACTGCTGCTGTCTGTCTTTCTTCCCTTTCTGCCCTGGCTGCAGTTTCTTATGCCTGGTCATGCCCTACTTACACAGTCCCTCGAGCTTTTGCTGAGCCATCTACAAGAAATTCTAGCCTAACTAATCAAGTCAGGGTATGGTTGTCTGCATGGTGAGTTGCATGGGCTAGTTCAGGAAAAGGGCAAATTAAATGTTCTCACTGATTCAAAGGAGGGGGTGGAGGGAGGTGGGGAGCACATTTATTTGTGGATAGATAGGCTTGGACTACTATAAGAAAACTGCTAAAGTTAATTTTTTCCCCCCAGTTCAGTCTTAAAACAAGTCAGTTACTGAGAGTGATGCATCAAGTGCCTTGTACAGTCACAGCTGAAGGGGTGAGTCTGCCCCTTTGGGCACTGATGCTGGCCTGAAGTGGCTTACAGTGTCAGAGTGGCAAAAAACACACTGAAATATTGGGTCTGTATAGCAGAAGTTGTGAAAATAAAGACTGAAGAAATGTGATATCTCAGTGTCACCTCTCCCTGGGCCCTGCATGGACTCTGTTCCTGCAGCATCTCTGAAAATGCTCTCTTAGCCGTGCACATCTGTAGTTCTGGCGTGGTTCACTCCAGACTTTCAAACAGTTTTGCTTTGTTTTGTCACATGAAAAAGAAGCGTTTTTTAAAAATCTGAAGCTACTGCAGATGCAAAAATGAAGGTCACTAATTTCATTTCAGTGCCCTTTCACAGTGGAATAGCTTTGGTTAGTGCCAGGCATTTAGCATGCTATGAGATGATGTGGGAAGTACATCCCACCTGTATTCTCCCTGTTACCATACCCACACCAAATCTCTGTTTGAGGGCAGGGAAGTCTCAGGGCTGGTTGTGGATGTGCATCTGCCTGGCAAACCACGTGGGATGACAACTGTTGAAAAATCCTCTGAAGTCTGGAGGAGATTTTTGCTTGTCCAGAACTGCAGGGAAAAATAAAGCATATGAAACAGTAAGAGGCAAAAAGAGGTAAATAGTGCGCTTTATCTCCCAAACAAAGAAATCTCTGCACAATGATACCCTTACAATTTATGCACCCTCCCCTACATGATCTTCACACGCCCTTGTCATGCAGTGGTGATTTTTGGTCTGGGGTCTTCTAACAGCTTTTTGGGCTCTCTCTCCATGTCCATGCAGGCATTTAGCCGTTCTTATCTCGAGTTGCAGCTTCTGCTGATGACCATGAGCTCCTCATCTCCTGTTTTGTGCTGCTTGTGCACCTGCTCCCCGGTAGAGCGTGGGAAACTAAAATAAAGTCCTAGGCTCAGGATAAACATTACTTAGCAACAACTAAAACATCGGTGTGTTGGCAGCATTCTTCTCATTCTAAAGGCAAAGCACAGCTCTGTAGCAGCTACGGGAAAATTGCTAAGGAAATTAACTCAGTTCCAGCCAAAAGCATGTCCAGGCAAAAGTCCACAGCTTTCAGCCTAAGGCTTCCACCAACCCAAGCTGCATATGCTAAGCAAGTAGATATAAGCAAACAGCATTCTAAATCACACAGTATTATTATTAGTAGTAGTATTATAATTCTATGTGACTTACTCTATTTAGAAGTTATTTGCTTAAGCAACTGACATCTCTCAACAAAATAATTTCTAGGTGCAATCTAAAAAGGAGTGTGACAATTGGTGAATTGCAGTACAATTGTGAAAATAAGTTTGAGGCCAAATGGAGAAGTGAGAAGTTTCTGGGGATAAGCAGAAGCTGAAAATTATCTCATTTTGTGGTAAAGATACTGGGTAAAGTGATCTGTACTGCTAAAGTGCATGACGTTCATCAGATGCTCTGCCTCTGCTTATCTCTTGACTAAGGTGCATCTCTTGAAGTTGATAAGAAAATAAAACATCTCTGATTATTCAGGTCAGGAAACTTCTCCTGGAAGAGGTCTGGGACTTCAGTAACAGCTGCTGGCATAGGTCCCAGATCCATTGCCACAAGGGTTCCAGTGCTGTGTTTTGCTGCTCCAACATGAGTCTTCAAAATGTCCTGAAGAATCCCCCTTGATTGTATTTTTTGCCTCAAAGTTCCCATCCACTCTTCATTTGAACTTCAGTTTGGCTGGGGTTTTATATTATACATCCACATATATTTATATACTGATGCATATGTATATAATATATATATTTTTTGTTGCTGTTGCGCTTCATTTCTTGTTAAGCACAAATAAAGTTTTTTTTGTTCCCCATTTGATAAAAATACTCTTTCTTGCATTGTGTTAGTCTTTAAACTTGCTAAAATATGCTGAAGAGTGTCTTGAAGACTTGATCCTCAGGGACTAGTAGTGTTTGTGCAAAATGTAGCTCACAGCATCCACAATTCCACTAGAACAGTAGAGTAGAACTCTAGGACAGTAAAAGTGCTTAGTTTTTCTCTCTTACCTGTCCTTGAAAGTTTTCTAAAAGCAGAATCCTCTGGATTCACCAAACCAAATCAAAGTGTTAGGCTTACAGTTCATATTAACTAATCTGTATATGCAGTTTAAGTCCTCTAGCATAACTTAAAGGGTTCAGTAATGGCATCTTTTGTGGTGTTTTAAGTGAGCAACTCTAGTTATGCTACACAGCAATGATATTTGCCAATACAACAGACTTGACTGTAATAGTTTTGTTTAAAAAATTAAGTGCCTGTCATGACTGGATTAAAACAGGTCAATAAGGAACTTCTATCTTTTTCAGGAATATAATTTTACCAGATTTCAGTTGCTACTTTTCAATAATACTAATTCTGTTGTCTTCAGTCTTACAAACAAAGCTGGCTTCAAAATGGATCATCAGCAGGGTGTTCAGTTTTTTGATAAATATCTGCATCAGTAGTAATTGAAACAGAGACTGATGATTATTTTCACCCTAACCTAGTCAATTATCCTGTGTTGAATTGTAGGTTTTCAGTGGCTTGCTTTGGAAAACTTGGTTTTAAGGGGCTGTTAGGACAGCATCTATTCAGTAGCTGGCTTGTTAGGCATAGGACTCAGTCACTTAGGAAACACTACTGAGCCTTACTCTTTGTAATTTTTCTCATAGGCATAATAAAGCAGTGAAGAGAAACTGAAGGAAGCATTACATGCCTTACTGGTCAGAAAACTGTTTCTGAAGTATTTGGGCAAACTACATGTATATGTAGTAAAATCTACAAAGGTAAGATATCTTCCTTTTCTATTTTATTTAGAAAATCTCATAACTAATGAAAACCTCTTTCATGAGTCTCAGTGGGTTTACAAAAGTAACTTTATATGTCAAGGAGCAATGTGGAGCCTAAAACTTATTCTTTTAAGCAAGTTCTGTGGAGTCTTGCCAAATTTCACGAGGTTTTTCATTATAGGATTTAGATGAAGGCAGATTGCCCATTAGTTCTTCTTCACAAAGCTTTCAAATCCATTCAAAAGCTTCTCAGTTTTATAAAATAGATCATGTAGGAAAAGACAGTAGCTCTTCATGATTTCAGGGTTAGCTGCAGTTTTGATTTCTTTTACTTCCTGAATATTAAGTGTGTCTTTAAGCATGTGGAGATTTCATGCTGTTCCTCTGAAATGGAAGGCTACAGTGACTAGAGAGTCTTTTTTTCAGTAGGAAAACAACATCTTAAGTGATGTGCAGTTCATAAATCCAGGATTTGCTAGCTGAAAGTGCCACAGCTATTGTTGGTAAGAACACCATTTTCTAAGTTTGTTGGGCATTATATGAAAGGTGTTAAAATGGAAAGCAAACATTTGCTTTTGAACTTGTGTGATGTTTCTGCTTCAGGTAGAATTCATGTTAAAAAAAAGCTGTATGTTTCAGAGTGGCTGCTACAGTTATGTTCAATAACAGCGTTCAGAAGAAGTGCAGCTCCACTGTGCCAAAGTCTTTGCTTTCAGAATTCAGAATTTCTTGATAGAAAATTGTGATTCTGACATCCAGCAGTACAATTCTCAAATTCCCTTAAATCTGAAAGTCTCTGAAGTGTGTAAATGTTTGCTTGCATTCACACATTCACTTCTTTATTCACTGTATGGTCTCCATGTTTTTAGAATTGCTGTCAGGCCTCTTTGTGGATCTACCCACACATATTCAGCCCAAAGATTGCTTTATTTCTGCGTGCTTGGGGTTTTTGAGCAGGCTGAAGGTGTGGAGAGCATGGGTTACGACATTGAGCGCTTCGTGGGCTATGTCAATGAGGGGCTGCTGTGCTCCATCTGCCGAGATGTGTTGGAGGATCCGCTGCAGGCTCCCTGCGAGCACGCGTTCTGCACTGCCTGCATCCATGGCTGGCTTGTTCATCACAGCAACTGCCCTGAGGACAGACAAGTCATTGATGTGTCTTTGCTACGACCTCTCTATAGGTACCCAGTAATCTTGCTGTGTGTTGAAATTAATGAATTTAGGATTTCTCAGTTTTGCTTGCACAGCTTCATCTCCTGTCGATACTGTTGCTCAGGCTGTCTTATCCAGTATGCCTGTGGCAGACACCAACTGCTTACTTACAAGAAAGCATTAGCATTTTCTATTTATTATAACTGTTAGGGTGTTAGGATTTCAAAGCTGAAAGGACACTTAGTTTGTTCTCTACCTTTTTATATCTTGAATGTTGATTCCAGATGCCTGTCTGGATATTATTCTGAATGTCCTTTACCGCACCAAAATTTTTCCATACTTGATTTCAGAGAAAGCAAGCAAAACGACTCTTGATGTTAGTCACTACACACTCTGTATCTCTTTTCTTTTCAGACTTAGTTAGGTCCTGTAGTGGTGTTTCTAATTAACAATTCCTGGAGATATTAACCAAATTTATGACCTTCAAATCCTTTTTAAAAAAGATCTTTAGACATAGGAATGTCTGTTGTAAACCACCTTGTTGTGTAAAGTGGGCTGTTCTCACTAGTGCCTTCTATAACTGGTCAGGCAGTTGGACCATATGATTGTTGTTGGTCTTCCCCAAACAAACTGTTCTATTTCAAACTGTAATTCCTGCTACTGTCAGAACAAAACAGTTTCAACAGTAGATGCTGCTTGCTGGTTAACATCTGCATTATCTAATCTTGCTCAGATTAACAGTTATGTATTTATAGTCTCCAGCTACAGTAAATTTAACGTTTTTAGTACTCATAACTTAATTTTTCATTCAGGAGATTTTACTATCTGGAAGTTAGCTATAGTGTAGACAGAGTACTAGAGTTTAATTTTTAGATTGTTTTGTCTGTACTCACTGTAGTCCTTTAGTCTGGCGTGTTTAGAAACATAGAACTTAAATAGCAAATGAGTAGCCCTGGTGTTTGTTATTGATAATATCTGCTGAGCCAGTGAAAGGTCACAATTAAAAATTATTCAAAAATAAAGATTTCATTTGCACATTTAAATTTGGAGACTGAATATTTCATTCTTTCTTTCAAGCTGTTTTTTCTTGATATGGTCACTTGAATTCTTAAGAAAGTAAATAAATTCAGCTAGTTACTCACAATTTTTCCTAATGGAGATTGGAATCTTGCTTTCTTTTCTCAAAAGTTGAAAATAGAAATTTTTCAATAATGTTCGCAGGTTTAAGAACAAATTCTTTTCTTTGCACGTAGATATATGAAAAATGATTTAAACCGTCTTCAGCTACATTGCAGAAACAGAGAGTATGGCTGTGAAATGGTTTGTTCTCTGGAGTCTATAGACAGGCATGAAAGGGAGTGTGAGTACAGTCAGATACCCTGCTCCAATGCTGGTGAGTAGCATTCAAAGTTGAATCCTTTATATTAAACAAACACGTTTGTCATCTTCCTGTCAACAGAACTGCAATAATGGCCATTATTTCCTAACAGAAATTCAAAGCTTTGGCACAATCTGCCCTTTACAGCAGTGTTTTTGAACAAAATATAGTACCAGTATATGGCAGTCATGATGATTAGCAACTGTTTCTTATACAAAAACTAACCAAAATGAATATGATGAACTTCAAATGTATGAAAATGTAGTAGTGCATTAGTTTTGTTTTCTGTCAAATGATGAGTTTGTTTTCCAGTTCTGACTGCATGTTTTGATGTTTGAATGAATGCAGTAGCCCCTGCAGAAGACCTGGGGATCATAATTTATTTATAAAATACCTGATTGCCTGGTGCATGTGAAGCTGTCAGCTCTGTGACATAGCTTTAACAAGAACATATCTTGGAAATAAGAATTATTCTAAGCAAAATTCTAGTTAGAATTGTTCATGTTGAGGTTTTTATTTAAAGCAAGACTACACCTCCTGAGAAAGAAACATACCTCTAAAAAGGAACATACTGTTAAAATTTCCCAGTTGAATTCATTTGAAATGTTGTCTGTTCCTAGATAAAGATAAAATCTAATTAATGATGCTAAGGGCTGCCATTGTAATTAATTATGAGATTATGAAGGTACTAGAATTGCTCTGCTAGAAGTTATAATTTTTCTCTTATAATTTTATAAGTTATTATAAGTGACTTCTGCAGATAATTGATTCACCTGTTCTACTTCCTACAGAAACAGTAGTGTTTTACAGATTTATGTATTTTACTGTGTTTTACAGATTTATGTTTTTACACTGCACTGGTGTTTGGGGTGTGAAGGCTCTCACTCCAACTCTTATTGCTCCAACTCTTCTCCAAAAATACATGGAGTGTATTTTGAGTACCTCAGTTACAAATCATTACATTTATTAGTAAAGCTCTTCTAGAGAACTCATTTGTCATTTTCTGGCTTGGTTTATTGGGAAGTTTCAATACTCCATTGCTTCTGTTTTCTTAAGTTGATATTCTCTTTGCATTAATGCATTATTCTCTTTGAATTAAATGCAAGTGTGTACTTCATCAAAGTCAGTCTCAGTAATTAAACTACAAACTTCCTAAGTTTGACTTCATAAGTTGAGACTACAAACTTCAAGTTTAGAGAGTTGAATATAGCAGTAATTTATATAGTGCTAATTTTTGATTCTTTACACTTTACTTTTAATCACTACAGAACTGCAAAGTTTGTATCCCAGAATTTCTGTGGAAATATTTCTATCTTTGTGTGAGTTATTAAATGTTCATAAATAAATGTTCTAACTTATTATGGTCTAGTACATTAGCGAGAAGACCCAACAAATTGTTTGGAAAACAAGTTTACATTCCATCTCATCCACATCTCTCTTTACTACTTCTTTAAGTTTGATAGCATAATATTTTTTTACACTGAATACATGTGTATTCTTTATAAATTCCAGTCATTACAATCTATGATGGTAGCACAGGCAAACTGCTAGTGTCTTAGCTTGGCATCAGGATTGTCATTACTGAAGTTGACTTAATGCCAGACCAGCAGTAGAAGACTTTACAGAAAATACAGAAAATACCTCCTTGCAGCTTTTCAGTGTTCTAATGGATAAGTATCTTAGTGAGAGTTGTATGAGTAGCTATGTATGTGTAACTGTCATATTTCATGTCCTAAGGAAATCACTTCTCTCAGCTTCCTTTCTTGACTGATTTTGTTTGGAATGACTGAGAGTGCTTTTGTTGTAGATGCTGTCTTGCCTTGCTCCCCCTGCTCAGGTTGCACGGTGCAGATCGAGCGGCGGAACCTGGACGGGCACCTGGCGGTGTGCGAGTACCGGAGCCGCGAGTGCCCCAACGGCTGCGGCTTCACCATCCTCAGCGCCGAGGACACGCAGCACAACTGTGTGGCAGAGCTGAGGACTGAGCTGGAGCTGCTGCGGTACAGAGCTTGTCCTTCTCTCAGGGCTGGGCTGGGCTGGGCTCAAAGTCACTGCAGGAAGCACTTTGAAATACTAGCACTGCATTCTGGTATGTGTTAAATGGGCCGTTAATTACTTGATGCTAACGGGCCAGAACTTCATCATGTGTCAGCATGGACTTTAAATTCTTGCTGGTTTGATTCTTTTGTTGTTGGGTGTTTTTTTCCAAGTTACCATAAATCTTAAAATACCAATGCTTGCAGTTGAACAGAATCGCAAGCTTACTATTTAAAATGACAAAAAACCTAAGAAAATGGAAGCTGGCAATTTAATTTTTCCGTTGGCCTCTTATACAGATGAAGCCACATTATTTAAGAATTGTATTTAGTTTATGTTTTTACAGATTGAGAAGATAAAAATCTGTAAGTATTTTGGCAAGTACAGGTAGATTCAACCACTGAAGGTCTAATTATGATTTTTTTTTAAGTTCTGGTAGATAAACAGTCAGTGAATATGACTCTTCTTACCAGCATCATTGTTTTCCTCTTACGTAAGTTTCTGTAGCTTTCCCTTTGTACTATATTCCAGTTGTACTTTGTTTTTTTTCCCCACTCATGCTCCTTCCCATTTGTATCTTTCAGCTCCTAAGTGTTGTGCTTTTGAACACTGCTGTTAAGTCAGGCTCAAATATGGTTTAAATGCATTGAGACACAAGTGATTCTGCTGCCTGGTTTCTGAGCTCAAAAGGTTAATGTAGTGCCATCTGGTTTTGGCTGTGGGGCTGTGTGAGTGACTAGGCTGTAACAGTTTACTGCATACTGTCATTTAGTGTCCACCATAAAACTGAACGAGGTTACACACAGAACCATGGAATCATTTAGATTGAAAAAGAGCTTTAAGATCATTGAGTCCAGCAGTCAATCCAGTGCTGCCAGGCCCACCACTAAACTGTGTCTGTAAGTGCCTACCATGTCCACACACACAGGCTGTCTCACTTCCTTACATGTTTAGCAGTACTACAGGATTCAGACTTTTTATCTTGGCTGCTTCTTATTTCATAACACTCAGCAAGCACATACTGTAGGCAAACACCAGAAAATCACTTAAAGTCATAAATACACCTTCTTGAGTTCTAGGAATATTTTATTTGAGGAGTATGATTTGACTGTCCCTCTATAGCCTCCTCATGGGCACTTTAATGCCCCTGGGCACAATGCACTTCTTTATGCTGTTTTTCTTTCTAAATAAATAAATCAGGCCTCTACGGAGGCATTCTGTAGAGCTTGATGGGAATCAGTTCAGTCTGCTTGGCTGCAAGAAGGCTTTCTGGATTTTGAAGATCATTCTTTTCTCTGCTTACAAGACTTAACAAGGAGAAATAAACTTTTTAGGTCAGAAATGATCTGCAGAGTGGAGGAGGCAAAACATGAGATGGAGTCGAGGTTAGATTCACAGAGAAGGCATATGGTCCAAAAAGAGAGTATTCTGCAAAATGAAATTGAAGAACTAAAGGTAAATACAATTTTTTTTTTCCTCTCTTAACAGTCTAGCTTTTTGCTTTTCCCAGTTGCAGTTTCTTATTTTGTAAATAAAGTCTCATACAGAGGAAAATGGCATTAAGTATGGGGAACAAAACCATCAAAGCTTTGCCAGGTTATCTCTGTGGAGAAGCAGGCTGGATTCTGTATTCCTGTGGTTTACTGCTTCAGGTTCACTGGAGCTCACCTGGGTACTCCACCCGTGTTCTGTGCATGCATAACATTGTCAGCAGATCAATCTGAAGCTGCTTTCAGTGTCTAAATGTAGAGTATGCCTCACAAACTGGATGTAATTAAACATTCAGCTCCATTTTTAATTGCTATCCAAAGTGGCTTAGTCCAGAGCTGACACAGAGCCCTACTACCAAGAGTGGTATTTGCACTGTGATCAGGTTGGAAAGGTTCACAGTAAACTTCATCAAGTAACAAGCAAGGCTGTCTTATCCTTTTATTCATCCTCTTTTTATTATATCACAGAAAAATTATTTTTAAAGCAATCATTTTTAAAGCTTTTAAAAAGTTTTAAAAAATTTATAGTTCACAGTTTTATTTTTACTGGATTTGTTGTTAAATCCTTGAAAAATGTATCTGAACATAACCACAACCATATTTTGTTTGGATTCTTGAAACAGAAAATAAAAGCAGCATGTAGGTAAATTGGCTGTTTCTTACCATACTTCATGAGAAACAAAATATGCAAACAAAATGTTTTCGTAAAACATATTGGAATCTTTAGAACAAGACCATCCCACAAGGTGAATGCTGGATTGTGTCTCAAATTGTTTACATTTGTTGCACTATCAAAAAAAAAATTTGGTGGTTTTTATTCTGAAGACTCCATTACCCAACACGCGTGGCCAGCTCCACTTCATTGCAGCATCATTAGAAGAGAGTTTGTTTCTTGCAGTAAACTGGTGTTTGCATTTCAGAGTCAGATGTCACGGCTGATGTCGGATGTGCGGTCTCTGATGGCTGCAGAGAGGCAGCACCGCCAAGAGCTGGAGCAGGCAGAGCTGGAAAAGCGGGAGTTAATGGAGCTGCTGAAGGGGCTGCAGAAGGACTGCAGATTGACTACTACAGAGGGAAGCAGGAAGTCAAATTTCCGTCCTTTGACACGACTAGAGAGTGTGAAAAGAAAACCTAGGGAAGTTACTGTTATCTAAATAGTACTGAGCTCAAAAAGCATTTTCTTCAAATACCAGCTTCTGGCAAACTACTTTCTTTGAATGATTGGTAAACTTTATATAATTTCTGATTTACTTGGGGTTTTTTTAAGTCTAAATTAGAACTGTATTTCCTTTGGGGCCATAAAAACAAACAGAAGATTTTTTTCCCCGAGGGAATACTGGTCATTAAAACCAGTAATTGGAAGACATAATTTTAGCTAATGTTTTTATAGAAAGGGAAAGGAGTCTTGTTCTCTCTTTACTGCATCACTTACAGGAATTTTTCAAGACTGAAACTACAGCCTTTTAAAGTCAAAGACACTGACTGTTATGGACCAGGAAGAAAAAAACATTTCAGTATCTCTTTCTGAAACAAAAAAGCAAATGTGATCATTTGGGATGTACTTAATTTGGGGAAAAGTAAATAGTAGAATCAGTAAGTCAGTAATAGAAATTAATAATATTTTGTTTGTTTGTGGTCAGTAGAAAGTCTTATTTCAAAGATGGAAAGCAAGCACTTTAAATTGTAATTCTTCTGCTATGTAACAGCTTTGGGTGAGGTTGACTATTGCTTTAGAGCTTCTTCTCATTTCTGAGGCTGATAACACACTTAAGAGACTAATACTGAAGCCTGAGGTAATAGAATAACCTTTAAACATATGTGTGAATAACTTTGAGTTTGTGGGAATGGATCTGCTTCTTACTTAAAACTTTGAAGCTTTTATATGTGAAACTATCAAGTATTTCTACAGGATCTTTTAAGCATAAGACCAGTCATTTGGTACTCAATGTCTTTAAAGTATATATAGATACCTCGAATATCCTTTATTTTCTTGTGGCAGGTTTAAGGCTACTTGATATGCACAAGAGATGAATATTTGCACAGTCACTTGGGCTTCAGACATCTGTGTTAGTGCTCAAGCAGGCTTCAGGGCGTACCAGAGCCTGGCTCTGTCATCAGAGGGTAACAGAACACCTGGGTGGAAGTAGATCAGTGATCTGCTCTACTTAGCAGTACAACTCAAAAGTGGAGGTGGAAGGATTAAGGGATGTTAGAGCATCTGAGGAAGAGATTGACTGATAGAGCATTCTCTGCCTCCCCTGAGGCAAGTGTACCAGTCAACTGCACCTCAGAAAGGGGAGGGTCACTAAAGATGAACCTAGGGTGGCAGGTCTGTGATGCAGGCAAAACCATTGGCCCGGCTAAAGTGCATCTACACCAACACACAGTGTGGGCAGCAAGCAGGAGGAGCTGGAAGCCATTGTTCAGCAGGAGGGTTTTGATGTTGTCACCATCACAGAAGCATGGTGGGATGACCATCATCATGGGAGTGCTGCAATGGCTGGATATAAACTCTGTAGAAGAGACATTGGCCATCGTGAGTCAGTGAGGAGCAAGGGGTGGAGCTTCCTGTGTTGCTGCTGAGTGGCTGATTATAAGAGGTGTCTGGGGAGCGCGGCGACCCGGAGCGGGCAGACGGGTGTGGTGAGTCTCTGGGGCGTATACACGGCAGTTTGCGCGGCAGTTGGCACAGGCAGGGCAAGCAGGCAGGGTTGCCAGCTTTCTTGCTAGTAAGGAGTCCTCTGTGTTGTTTGAGGTCTTTCTGCTGCCTGGTTGTGTTTGAGGTGTCTGTTAGTAATGGTTTCTACATGGTCAAAAACTGTGGCTGGTATAAGTGTAAGTGACCAAGTCGAGCCCTCCAAAAAGTATGTGTCTGTACAGACCCATCCATGCCCAGAGTGTTTGAGGTTATCAGTGGCTTCAGGGAGTGTTGTGGAGGAGACCTGACTGCGGTGTGAACAAGTGAACGACCTCCTTTCGTTGGTGGCTGAGCTTAGGGAGGAAGTTGAAAGGTTAAGGAGTATCAGGGAAAGTGAAAGGGAAATAGACTGGTGGAGTTCAGCCCTTCCATCTTTAAGGGAGCCCTGTGACCAAGAGACTGAGGACTTATATGCCTCCCCGTCTCAGGTAACAGAAGGGCACCTGGTAGATGAAGAGGAGTGGAAATGAGTCCCCATTTGGGGACGTAATAACAAAAACTCCTCCCCATCCCCATCATCCAGCCAGATACCACTTCAGAATAGGTATGAGGTCCTGGATGATTTAGGAGAAAATTGTCTGTCCAGTGAGCCCCCCAATTATGATTCATCTGTAAGATGGATCACTACCTCTAACACCAAGAAGAAAAGAAGGGTAATCGTAGTAGGTGATTCCCTCCTGAAGGGAACTGAGGGCCCCATATGTCGACCAGACCCATCCCACAGGGAGGTCTGTTGCCTCCCTTGGGCCCGGGTACAAAATATCACTGAGAGACTTCCTGGGCTGATTCAGCCCTCTGATTATTACCCACTGCTGATACTCCAGGCTGGCAGTGATGAGATTGAGGAGTGTCAAGGCAATTAGAAAGGACTTCAGGGTACTGGGTCAGGTAGTTGATAGGGCAGGAGCACAGGTAGTGTTCTGCTCAGTCCCTTTGGTAACCCAGGAAAACAGTGAAAGAAACAGGAGAATCTGCATCATCAACAAGTGGCTTAAGGGTTGGTGTCATCGGCAAAATTTTGGATTCTTTGATCATGGGGAAACTTTTACAGAATCTGCTGTACTGGAACCAGATGGGGTACATCTCTCTATTAAGGGCAAAAGGTTTTTAGCTCATGAACTGGCAGACCTCATTGAGAGAGCTTTAAACTAGGTTTGAAGGGGGAAGGGGAACCAGCTGAGCTATCTGGAAACAGGCCCAAGAATTGCAAGGCTGAGTTAGGGGTGAAGTCAGTAGCCCAGATGAGGTGCATGTATACCAATGCACGCAGCTTGGGCAACAAACAAGAAGAGCTGGAGGCCATGGTGCAGCTGCAGAGCTATGATGCAGTTGCCATCACGGAAACATGGTGGGATGACTCACATAGTTGGAGTACTGCGCTGGATGGATACAAGCTCCTCAGGAGAGACAGGAAAGGAAGAAGAGGTGGAGGGGTGGCCCTTCATATTAAGCAGGACTATCGATGCCGTAGAAATTGAAACTAATGATGATGGAGTTGAATGTCTATGGGTAAGAATAAAGGGGAAGGCCAACAAGGCTGACACCATACTGGGAGTCTGTTATCGTCCACCCAACCAGGAAGAAGAGGTAGATGACTTATTCTATAAGCAGCTAGGTAATGTTTCAGGATCATCAGCCCTTGTTCTTGTGGGTGATTTCAACCTACCAGACATCTGCTGGGAACTTAATACAGCAATAAAGAGGCAGTCCAGGAAATTCTTAGAGTGTATGGAGGACAACTTTCTGTCGCAGCTGGTGGGTGAACCCACCAGGGGAGGGACTATGTTAGATCTGCTGTTTGCAAATAGAGATGGGCTGGCGGGAAATGTGGTGGTTGGAGGTCACTTGGGGCAGAGTGATCACGAAATAATAGAGTTCTCAATATTTGGTGAGGTCAGGAAGAGCACCAGTAAGACTCTTGCATTGGACTTCCAGAGGGCAGACTTTGGCCTGTTTAGGAGACTTATTCAGAGCATCCCTTGGGAAGCAGTCCTTAAAAACAAAGGAGTTCAGGAAGGGTGGGCATGCCTCAAAACAGAGATCTTGAGGGCACAGGAACAGACTGTCCCTGTGTGCCGAAAGATCAGTCAACGGGGTAAACGTGCAGCCTGGCTGGGCAAGGAGATTTTGGAGGAGCTTAGGAATAAAGAGAGGATGTATCAGCGTTGGAAGAAGGGTCAGGTCTCTAAGGAAGTATTCAAGAAGGCTGCTGGAGCATGCAGAAAAAAATTAGGGAGGCCAAAGCTCAGTTTGAACTTAAAATGGCGACTTCTGTAACGGATAATAAGAAATGTTTTTACAAATACATTAATGCTAGAAGGAAGGGTAAGACCAGCCTTTGTTCTTTATTGGACAAGGGAGGGAACTTAGTATCTGAAGATGATGAAAAGGCAGAAGTGCTTAATGCCTACTTTGTCTCAGTTTTTAGTGGGAAGATGACTTGCCCTCAAGACACCTGCCCGCCTGGGCTGGTTGATGGTGTCATGGAGCAGAATGGTCCCCACATTATCCAAGAGGAGGCAGTCATAGAACTACTGAAATGCTTGGATGTTCATAAGTCTATGGGACCAGACGGGATCCACCCCAGGGTAATGAGAGAGCTGGCAAATGAGCTTGCAAAGCCACTCTCCATCATTTACTAACAGTCCTGGCTCACTGGTGAGGTTCCGGATGACTGGAAGCTGGCCAGTGTGATACCTGTTCACAACAAGGGTGCAAAGGAGGATCCTGGTAATTATAGACCACTCAGCCTGACCTCAGTACCTGGCAAAATAATGGAACAGTTTATATAAAGTGCCATCACACAGAATTTACAGGATGGCCAGGGTATCAGACCCAGCCAGCATGGATTTAGGAGGGATAGATCATGTTTGACCAACCTGGTCACCTTTTATGACCAGGTAACCCGCCTAGTGGATGCAGGGAAGGCTGTAGATGTTGTTTATTTGGATTTCAGCAAGGCCTTTGACACTGTCTCCCACAGCATTCTCCTAGACAAGCTGGCAGCCCGTGGCTTGGACAGGAGCACTCTTTGCTGGGTTCAGAACTGGCTGCATGGCCGGGCCCAGAGAGTGGTGATGAATGGTGCTGCATCCAGCTGGCGGCCAGTCACCAGTGGTGTCCCTCAGGGGTCTGTGCTGGGGCCAGTTCTGTTTAATATTTTTAATGATGACATGGATGAGGATTTAGAGTCTTTCATTAGCAAATTTGCAGATGACACTAAACTGGGAACGTGTGTTGATCTGTTAGAGGGACAGAGGACTTTGCAGAGGGACTTGGAACGGTTGGATGGATGGGCAGAATCGATGGGATGAAGTTCAGTAAGTCCAAGTGCCGAGTCCTGCACTTTGGCCACAATAACCCCCTGCAACGTTATAGGCTGGGGGCAGTGTGGCTGGGCAGTGCTCAGATGGAAAGGGACCTGGGGGTGCTGGTTGACAGTCAGCTGAACATGAG